TTTCCATACCCATGCAGGGTAAGCAGAAAGATAAAGTCTGCCGCGGCTGGGTCTTGAACCCGCGACCTTCGAATTACTAGATCGACGCTCCACCAACTGAGCTACACGGTCAGACGGATTTAAGACTGGAAATTATGAAATATATACTGAATGTCATAAACATACTCGTTTATATTAATTCAGCATCGAACAATACTAGTTCTGCAAGTGTTATGTTAATTGTGTTATTGTACACTCTGTAATATGTTAAGATGAAAATGTTCTAGAGTGTGTATTATATAATTTCCATACCCAGCGCAAGCAGAAAGATGTTGTCTGCCGCGGCTAGGTCTCGAACCCGCGACCTTCGAATTACTAGATCGACGCTCTACCTACTGAGCTACACGGTCAGACGGATTTAAGACTGGAAATTATGAAATAGCTCAGTAGGTAGAGCGTCGATCTAGTAATTCGAAGGTCGCGGGTTCGAGACCCAGCCGCGGCAGACAACATCTTTCTGCTTGCGCTGGGTATGGAAATTATATAATACACACTCTATAGAACATTTTCATCTTAATATATATATATATATATATATATATATATATATATATATATATATATATATATATATATATATATATATATATATATATATATATATGCTGTGGTCTGTGGAGTGGCACCTTTGACAACGTAGCAATGAAGACTTAATATATAATGATATATTTATTGCTGACAAGAAATATTTCTACATGCATGGTGTAAAATATCAATTCTTGCGTCTTGATAGGTAATTTCAAGGGCCTTCGCTCGAAACGTCGAGTTTCTGCTTATTTTTTAAGGTAGTAATATAACCACACAGCACAGCATTTTTACCGGTATGCGTTCCACGTTACGATGTCAGTTTGTTCTCGAGTCGGAGGCAAACTGGAGGCGACAAGCGGATAATACGGATAATACGGTGAATACGGTGTCATCAGTCTGTAAAAACGTTAAGTCTGCAAATGTTGTTGAAATTTTCAGACTCTGCCAGGCAATTGCGAGCAATACTATATGCCCCCGACAACGTATTTACGTTACGCCTTTCACGATTTTAATTTGATTTTCTTGAGACATTTGTCATACATATATAATGAACAGTATCAGTTCTAAAATTTGTTTACACCACAATTCGGTTTGTTTCCATTCAATCGTGCATCCATATTGATAGCTATATATCATAGTTTTCTATATGCCCTTAAGCCCAGGTCAAAGGAGAATTAGAGCTATATAGTTGATGAGAGTTGGCGTTCATGAATTGTTACGTTTACTGCAACGTTTTAACGTAAATAAAATACATAACAGTGTTGGGAAAGCATTAAGAACAGCTAACTGTGGTCATGTGACTGCCAACTCTCATCCGGCACTCTCATCCTGTTGGATCCGGGCTTTATTAATTTAACTCTTAGCTAGCAGCCATCCGAGAAAAATATACTACTCACGTATGGATCGGCTTTACCGATTTATTGTCCATATATGATTAAAGCCAGTCTGTGTAATTTCCATCACATTAATACTTCATATGGATAAATAGTTAATCTTATTTTTAACGTCATGCGGACTAATGATTCGAGAGAGTAAATGTTATCTCACTGAAGCTGTCCAATTGCATTCTCAATAAACTTAAAATGTGACAGAAATTACTGCATCGGCACAATTGTCGCCCACCTGAAACAGGTGTTAGCTGATGTTTTGGACTTGCCCACTTATGTTTTTGCCGTGTCATACAAATTAAAGAGAATATTTGCACGCTCGAATCTCTGTCTGTGCTTGGTCAGAGCTTCAGAAATATAAAGCGTGCGACAACTGAAGAAAAATTAGTGGCAGTTTTCGAAATAATATAGCATCAAATTTCACAGTCAAATTCTGAAGAGCAAATTTCAGGCTTTATAGCGGAATAATTGTTGGTCTAACTTGACTGAATTTCTTCAGGACAATTCGTCTTGTAAATTAAAATGCCAACGTATCGAAAGTGTGCTCCATTCTGTTTCCCTCACAATCAGTGTGGACTGGTAGGCATAAATAGAAATAACCCTTGTGATGGATACTTCGGTTGTGATGACGAAGAAATCTTTCAAGATGATGAGAAAGGTATACGTAATTTTAAACTGAAATTAAATTAATTTTATAAAAAATAATTTGCATCTCTCTAAGGTTTATAGATTAGTAATACTGCATGCATGTAAATAGATCGAAATTAGAATATGAAACTCTGTCATGCAAAAGTATAAATTGAGAAAGAAAAAAAAATAGTTAAGTATTGTAGCCTATCCGCATCATTCAATCTTACTTGGTTCTGTATGCATGCGCATACTTCAGTCAGTTAACTCGATATGTTTGTATTTCTTCTGCATGTATGTTAGTTTCAAGATCGAATATCAGGTCACATGTATATATAGTACAGATTATAGTTTAGTATATATAGACTGCATCCAGACCTTTGAATCATCATCACTTCAGCGAAATTTCAGAAAGTAAAACAATAATTGTATAACTTTTCAGCGAAAACGAGAATAATTCCTTATATATAGTCTTACAAGGACCATTTCGTTAGCTATAAGTTAAATCTATACATGCAGAACCTCACGATCATACTGGAAAGTATATTAATTGAATTTATCCTTCGGTATAATTTAACAAAACATTACGAGGCAGATGTCGCAAGAACGTTGGAACTATAAAATACCTTTGGAAATCAAGAAAGAGGAAAATTTAATAAATGGGCACCCCAACATCATCTATATATAGGAAGTAGGAATCTTCTCGTTTAGAATTATATATATATTTTAAAGATAAAATAAACCTGCATGGTTTACTTCATAAGATTTTATTCACTCTAGACTTCGGTATATCGAGCACTCTACTCATACATGATTCTAAGGCAAAAAGTGCCTCTAAAGAGAGTTGATGGCAACTTTATGTTAGAAGCTGGTAACAGGCATTTTCTTATAGTTTAAACCTTGGTGAACAAAACTCTATGTGTTACCACTTCTGATTTTTGCTTAATTTAGCCGAAAATTTGAGAATTTTTAAATTTTGCCTATTAAATTACTATGATGGCAGAAAATGTAAAATCTCATTTTCTCTTATATGAAAAATAAACTATACCACTAGAAAGAGCGCAAAAAACAATATATAAGACAATTAAGCGACAAGTGCGATTTTTCAAGCCAGTTTTGAATTAAATATGGTTAAAATTGGCAAAATAGATAGATACTTATTAGCATTAATTTGGTCATTTACGCATTAAAAACTTTGGTAATTTTTTAGCATTAAAAACACGAAATAGGATTCGAAAAACTAGAAATCGCTTAATTGTCTTATATATAGTTTTCTTCGCTCTTTCTAGTGGTATAGTTTATTTTTCGTATAAGAGAACATGATATTTTACATTTTTTGCCATCATAGTAATTTAATAGGCAAAATTTAAAAATTCTCAGAGTTTCGGCTATAAAGCAAAAATCAGAAGTAGTAACACATATAGTCTTGTTCACCAAGGCTGAAACTATAAGAAAATGCCTGTTACCAGCTTCTAACATAAAGTTGTCATCAAGTTGCACAAAATGATGACATGGCCAGCCGTCTAATATACATATATATATATATATATATATATATATATATATATATATATATATATATATATATATATATATATATATATATATATATATATATATACATATATATATATATATATATATATATATATATATATATAATTCAGTCAAGGATTGAATGTTTGCGTCGCTACTCTGAATTTCACGCTTTACGCGATAATTCCGCTCTACTTATTATGGTATTGAGCGCTCTTCTACCTTACGTCGACTATTTTTTTGAAAATAGTCTTCAGTATATATATATATATATATATATATATATATATATATATATATATATATATATATATATATATATATATATATATATATATATATATATACATTAATATATATATATATATAATCATATTTTACAACTGTAGCAGTAAGTTCAAAATGTAAACAAAGCGTTTGTTTACATTACGGACTTCACATGGTCTTTAAGCAACTGCGACCTCTTTGTCAGCACTCAATCATCAGGCATTAAACAGGGTAAAATAATTAAGTAGCAGTGCCGTAACAAGCTCAATAATTGGGGGGGAGCTCATATTCATATATTTGTGTTCACAGACCATAAAAACAGTCGATTTCAAAATTAGAAATTAATAACGCAGAACACGAATATATGAATATGAGCCGCCCTCCAATTATCGAGCTTGCTACAGCACTGAGCAGGGCACATTTGGGTGTATTGCAGCATTATTTTACTCTGTCTAACACCAGACAATTTTACTCGGCAAGGGGAGATCGAGCGCTGCCGCGCCCAAATGCAATGTGTCAGACAATTCTGCTGGTTAAGGGCAAAATCTTGCAACTATTGTCAATCTTTAACAAGATGAAGACTACATTCTTTAAAAAATTCGGATTGCAACAATTAAAATGTCACAATGTCAATAATATGCATTCAAGAATTTCCGGTATAAATAAACAAATAAAAACAATGTAAAATAAAACATGCAGCAAGCCTAATCGACGCTTTATTTAGCAAGGATGCAAAGAATACACACATACACACGTCGGACTTACAGAATCTCCGAGTTTATCGTCTGCATCAACGCTCGATTCTTCCGCTTTCGTCTCCTGGAAAATTCAAAATGAGCAACGATTCAGCGAGACTCAATTGCAAAAGCCTAAACATATATGCTCAAAAGAACAACAAAACAACCTGTTTTAACCTTTTAAATGCGAAGTAATCTTCTACATTATCTACAAGGCATACGCACCTTTTTTCGGAATCTTTTAAACATGGTTTTTATTTGAAAATTGCTTTGAAATTCATCATAGTATTTCTCGTATTTTCAGGTTGGTTGGCAAATTAAAAATTGACACTGATCTCAAACATGACATGGACTGACAAAGCACAGACTCACCGCTGATCTCAAATATAATCTGGACAACGAAGTCACAAAGTTCGAGTGTGTCTAAAAGTCGAGGGTCGAGAGTCGAGAGTAAAGGTCGAGAGTCGAGAGTAAAAGTCGAGAGTCGAGAGTAAAAGTCGAGAGTCGAGAGTCGAGAGTAAAAAGTCGAGAGTCGAGAGTAAAAAGTCGAGAGTCGATCGAGAGTAAAAAGCCAAAAAGTCGAGAGTCGATCGAGAGTAAAAAGTCGAGAGTCGGCAAATGTCATCAGAAACGACAAAGTCAAAATACTTTTAACACAATATATAGCCGATCCGTAACAACGGCTGATTATAGCCGTACGGGCGAGGGGGGGGGGCAGTCCCACCCCCCAGTCAAAATAAAGTCATGCAAATTATAAACGCATAAATTCGGGCAAAAATTGGGGGGAAATAAATTTAAAAAGAAGACAGTACATGCAATATGGTATTTGAAAATACCAGAAATATGTAAAAGTAACGAGGAATCGACAAATAGGAAAATATTTTTGTCTACTTCCCAACGACAATTTTGGAAATTTAGTTACACGGAAAATTTTATTCAGTGGGTAATTAAAAGTCGGGTAAATTTCTTTCTGGCTCCCTGATTTTTTCCCGCCCGTACGCCTATGACGGCTGAACTAATTTCATTT